ATCTCTCCTACCTCTATAATGTAAGCTCCACAAGGGCAGGGATTTTTGCCTGTTCATTGATTTCACAAGTAGGCTCTCAACATATTAAAAGAATGTGTGAGTAAATTGTTTTAAATGTGTTTCTTATGAACAGCATATAGCTAAATTTTAAAAATCTAATGTGCAAATCTCTTGTATCTAAACAAACACATTTAACTAAATTGCAGTTGTGATTACTGATACATTTGGAATTATTTTTGTCATAATTTTTTTATTTTCTATTTCTTTTTTCTTCCTGTCATCTAAGTTTAATCAGATCTTTATTAATTCTCCTTTTGTTTGTTTGGTCTTTTAATTTAGAAACTGCATTCTATTTAGCTTTCTCTAGTAGTGATTCCTAAATATTTAACGTGTGTGTGTGTGCGTATTTTTTTTTTAAGTAGGCTCCACACCCAACAGGGGGCTTGAACTCTACGACCCCAAGATCAAGAGTCACATGGTCTACTGACTGAGCCAGCCAGGTGCCCCTAACATGTATATTTGGTTTAGCAACATTTCAGAGTATTCTTCCTAAATACTTTTAAGACCTTAGAATGCTTCTCTGATCTTCATATTTCCAATTTCTTGTTATTTTCTAATGTTTTAGTTTTACTTTTTTCTAAGCAATTTATGCCACCCCACCCACTGCCATGGTCTTTCTCCTTTGTTTTGGAGTTAGAACTTTATTTGGATTTATCCATCTATTCTTTTCCTTTTGCATTAATTTCCTTCTTACCAAAAACATCATTAGTAGTTCCTTCAGCAGCAATCTGTGGTTGGTAGATTCCCCCAAACTTTATCTAAAAATGTATTCATCCATGCTCTGATAATCTAGTTAGATGATCAAATTATGCCATGATCTTCTGGATTCTGTTATTTCTTTTCTTTAGTTTTGGAAAATTTTCAGCAAGCATCTCTTTGAATTTTGCCTCTTCTCCATTCTTTCTGTTGTCTCCTCCTGGAACTTCTTTTTAGATTTATGTGAGATTTTTTAACCCCTTTCATCTTTGCTGTTGCTTTATCTCTGTGTGTCTGGGTAATGATCTTAGATTTATCTTCCAGGTCACTAACTGTGTCTTTGACTATGTCTAATCTGCTGCTTAATCTGTTTGACTTTTTCATTTCACTGACTGTTTTTCATTTCTAGAGGTTGTTTATGGTACTTTTCCTTTTTTTTTTCTTCCCAAATTTTTATTTAAATTCTATTAGTTTAATACATAGTGTAATATTGGCTTCAGGAGTAGAATGTAGTGATTCATCACTTACATACAATACCCAGTGCTCATCACAAGTGCCCTCCTTAATGCCCATCACCCAGTTAGCCCATCCCCCACCCACCTCCCTCCGTCAACCTTTCTGTGTTTGCTCTCTCTAGTTAAGGGTCTCTTATGGTTTGCTGCCCTTGTTCTCTCTCTCCTATGTTCATCTGTTTCCTAAATTCCACATTAAGTGTGAAATATGGTATTTGTCTTTCTCTGACTGACTTACTTTGCTTAGCATATCCACTCTAGCTCCATCCAAATCGTTGCAAAAGGCAAGATTTCATTCTTTTTGATGGCAGAGTAATATTCCATTTGTGTGTGTTTGTGTGTGTGTGTCTGTGTGTGTGTGTGTGTACCACAGCTTCTTTATCCATTCAATAGTCGATGGACACTTGGGCTCTTTCCATAGTTTGGCTATTGTTGATAATGCTGCTGTAAACATCAGGGTGCATGTACCCCCTTTGAATCTATATTTTTGTATCCTTTGGGTAAATACCTACTAGTGCAATTTGTTGGATTGTAGGGTAATTCTACCTTTTTGAGGAACTTCCATTCTGTTTTCCAGAGAGACTGCACCAGTTTGCATTTCCACCAACAGTGTAAGAGGGTTCGCCTTTCTTTGCATCCTCCCTAACATCTGTTGTTTCCTGTGTTTTAGCCATTCTGACAGGTGTGGGGGTGGTATCTCATTGTAGTTTGATTTGTATTTTCCTGATGATGAGTGATGTTGAGCATCTTTTCATGTGTCTGTTAGCCATCTGGATGTGTTCTTTGGAAAAATGTCTATTCATGTCTTCTGCCCATTAACTGGATGGATTCTTTGTTTTTTGGGTGTTGAGTGTTCTTTGTAGTTTTTGGTTACTAACGCTTTATCATATATACCATTTGCAAATATCTTTTCCTACTCTGTAAGCTGCCTTTTAGTTTAAGTTTGGGGGGCTCTTTCTGGGCCACTGATTCTCATGGTAGATCATTTTCTTTTTTGGTCATACTTTTCTATTGAGAGCTTCTCTTCATTGAGGATTTTTCTGTATGGATCCCATAGTAATAGCTCCCTGGTAGTGGAAGTGGGTTGCCAGAGCAGTTTGCATTTGCTTCTGCCAGGCACTCCAAGGAAATCACTAGCCTGGGATAATTGTCATAATAATTTCTCACCCTGAGGTTCTCTCTCTGCCCTTACAATATAAATTTTGATCACTCAAATGTGTTATAAGTTGGATTTCAGTTTCTCAGGAAATCTGTTCTCATCCCTGCTTCATAATATAATATTGACTAGTGCCACAAATGTATATCTTGTTTTATAACTTCAGCATAAATATAAACCATCATTCAGTCATTAGAGAATATTGAAGAATTCAGTCATTAGGGAGAAAATCTTGAGTATTAATTTTAAGAAATGCTGCTTTTAAATAGAATCACAAATTTGAACAAATTTCTAAGTAATGCCACTTGAGACACATTGTTGGTAGATGGCTGGAGTTTAGAAATAAAGGAAAGTATGTTATTCTTCATCTTCCTTTGCCTTGTCCTTCATTCTTACTGCAGTCTTGCCTCCAGCTTTTCTTCTCTTTGTGTCCCACTCAAAAAATAACAGCCCACATCCTCATCTTCTTTTAGGAGAATGAACAAACCCTAATGTAGAATTCTTGTATTTTGGAAATAGAGGGATAAAACTGCAGTTCAGATAAATAAGCCAAATTGATTAAAGCTTGACAAAACAAGCTTCATAGGAAAGTAACAAAGACACAGCGAGTTTTCAACCAGGAATATGTTTATCTCCAAAAACACCTCTCTGCAGTTACAGAATATATATTAAAATGGGAGAAAGGTTAACAGGGTTTTAGTGTTTATCAAAAAGAATCAGCCATGGTTTTTTAAACTTGAAACATTATGCCCTTGTATTTATTTCTTCCAATAAATAAGAAAGGAGAATTACAGAGGGAAGCATGTATGGATTATAACAGTGTCAGATTTTGTTGGGAAAAATTATCTACTATTTAAGGTTAATTTTTAAGTACTTGAGCATAACAGCCTCCCTCACTTCATAGCCTAATTCTGGTTCTAGAGTACATTACTAGATTGAATGGCCCAAATATACCTTAATATGCCATAGCCTTTTTCTTATTTTTTAGATTCATCTGACTGTTCAGCATTAACCTAATCTGTTTAGTCTACTTGAGTCTTTCATTTGAATAACTGGTTTTCATTTTTAAAGGTTGTTAATTGTACTTTTCTAAATCCACCTGTTTTCTCATAGTAAAATCATCCCAAGCTGACTTTATAGAAGTAGATACAGGTATCTTCACTTCCAGTCCAGTATACTAAAAAAGAGGCCTACATTGTCCAAGGATTAATCACAAGAACATACATGGATTTTTATGGCTTAGTAAGGTTTCCCAAGCAGTTTATCATTCATGCTACAAGATTGATTGCATAATTTCTTTCTTTAAAAATCTTAGGAAAAAAAAAATCTTAGGAAAATAAGGGCACCTGGGTGTCAGTTAAGCATCCAACTCTTGATTTCGGATCAGATCATGATCCTCAGGGTCGTGAGATCGAGGCCCATGTCATGCTCTGCGCTGAGCGTGGAGCCTGCTTAAGATTCTCTCCCTCTCCCTCTGCCCCTCCCTACCCTGTGCTCGCTCGCTCTCTCTCTCTCTTCCTAAAAAAAAAAAACAAAAACAAATCTTAGGAAAATATTTTCATAAAGTACAAGTGATTTCTCTTAAGTGGTATCATTTTTACTTTGTGATTTGAACAATTTAATACTAACGTTTCACAATTTGGAGCGCCTTGGGTAGCTCAGTTGGTTAAGTGTCCAACTCTTTTTTTTTTTAAGATTTTATTTATTTATTTGACAGAGACACAGAGAGAGAGGGAACACAAGCAGGGGGAGTGGGAGAGGGAGAAGCAGGCTTCAGCGGAGCAGGGAGCCCGATGCGGGGCTTGATCCTAGGACCCGGGGATCATGACCCGAGCCGAAGGCAGACGTTTAATTGGACTAAACCACCCAGGTGCCCCAAATGTCCAACTCTTGATTTTGGCTAGGGTCATGATCTTGGGGTCTTGCGATTGAGCCCCACATTGGGCTCTGTGCTGAGTGTGGAGCCTACTTAATATTCTCTCTCTCCCTCTGCCTCTCCTCCCCCACCCCCGGTCACGTGGTTGCACTCTTTCTGTCTTAAAAAAAAAAATTAACAATTTAATGTTAATATTCATGTGGATTGAAATCAGTCTGTTTTATTTGTTGCCGACATCAGAATGGATTTAGCTTAACCCACATTCCCTTTTGAAATGTCTATAAAGTGTTCATATTAGAATACCTTATGCAGAGTTCAAACACGTCAGGCTTCTTATCCTTTCAGAGGGTCAGATGTGAATTAAATAATAGTTAGTAGATTAGTTGACTAGACTGGAGCCTTAAGAGAAGTCATAGGCTACTAAAAATACTGTCCTTAGCCATAAAGTGGGTTTATCTGAACACTTTTTAAAAAATATTTTAAACAAGTAGCAACATTTGTCTGCTTGAATAATTAAAATAATTTTCAAGTTAAATATTTTGAAATTTTAAACATTTAAACTCAGAATAGTTTGTTTTAAGGTATCTTGGCATGCTCTTGTTTGTAGCAGAAATATTTACTTGTTTTGTTTTCCCAAGGCTGCTTAAAGGTTAATTGACTAAAGTGGGTGGGTCCTCATGTTTGCTAATATGTGTTGCAGCTCTGTTGGTACACCAGAAGGCCAGAATGGAACGACTTCAAAGAGAACTTGAGATTCAAAAGAAAAAGCTGGATAAACTAAAATCTGAGGTCAATGAAATGGAAAATAATCTAACTAGAAGGCGCCTGAAAAGATCAAATTCCATATCCCAAATACCTTCAGTAAGTCTTTCTATAACTCTTGTGACCTCTGTGCTTGAACATGAGAATAGGCAATCTGCCGTAAGTGTAAAAGGTTGATCTGGTTTCCTAGAAATGCTCTTAATTCATACTTGTTTCTTTGCCCTTACCCTCCCCTGCCAAACTCCACTCTTTCTTAACTAAATGACAAGAGAATTCAACGTAGATCCTTCTCACACGGAATTATTTTTCAGCTCGAAGAAATGCAGCAGTTGAGAAGTTGTAATAGACAACTCCAGATTGACATTGACTGCTTAACCAAAGAAATTGATCTTTTTCAAGCCCGAGGTAAAGTTCAGTGCATATTCAACTGAAATTCATTGTATTAATTAATCAACTCTTTTCCTGTGGCTGAAAACAAACTTATCAGTTACAATCTTATTGTCTCAGATTTGACTTTGGAGCCAGAAAGTACTAAAAAACTATTGGGTTTTTCTCCCTGCCCCCTCTTCCAGAGGGGTTTATGAATAATTTGATAAAATTTGTATTATTCAGACCTGCTTTAGTCTCGTGTTAAGGGAAGACAGTGATTAGTATGGTTGTATTGTCAAAAGTATTGCTGTAATATATTGTAGCATGTATAATATAATATTTGTTATAATATTTAATAAGGTTAAAATATAGGTACTCATGTCTTTTTCCTATTTCCCTTCTTTACTTTTACCTTTCAAGAATCATGCTTTTAAGATCATAGTTAAAAAGACATCCCCACTCTAATGGCACTATCTTAATTGATAAAACAGAGAAGGGAATAAAAATATGGCTTATACATTTTTAGAACAATGATAGCTTATTAGGAAGCCTGAGCTATTAGTGATAAGCAGTACTTGGTTATTGTAGCAAAAAATCTTGACAATTTAATTCAGTTCCACAGACAACTAAAAGGAAATTTTATAACTTAAACCTAATTCTGAAGTTAGGGAAATAATAGAAATATATGAAATGGAAAAGACAGGGTAAGAGAAGGAAGCCAACAAAAAAGAAGTCCTTAATTACTCTTTTAAGTGTGTGCCGAAAATTCATCAAACTGAAAGATGATAATGATGTATTTTCTTTTAAAACCTTAATAAATCATGTATCTTGAAACATTCACTGAAGATGCCATAGTTTAAAAGTATTGGTCTAGCAACTATAATTCTTGAACTTGTTCCTTTTGTCATCTGACCCATTATATTAAATTAGTGCAAGGTTTTTAATACTTATTTGGGGCCAAGGTATTTAGTTGCTTAAGACCATGTTTGATCATTTGAAATTATATTTTAAATTGTTAAATTTTAAGTTATTTTAACTTATCACATAGAACAGTGGTCTGGTTGTAATTCTGTTACTGTCTTACTAACAGTTTAATTTGACCTCTTCCTCCATTTACCACGTAGACTTCTGTTGTGAGTACTGTATTATACCTACCTCAGCTGTTTTCACAACTTTACATGTAATTTAAGATTAGAGGTGCAAAATAAAGCATTTCTTCTATTTATACTGTGATCTTTTTTAGAAAGAAAATATTTGCTTTTTAAAAAATAAAATTAAATATTTTTGAGCTATAAACATTGATATATTTACTTTTTATGTATTTCAGGACCACATTTTAATCCCAGCGCTATTCATAACTTTTATGACAATATTGGATTTGTAGGTCCTGTGCCACCAAAACCCAAAGGTTAGTGTATTCATTAAGTGTGAAAACTGTTACATTTTAAAAAGCAAGATTTTAGAAAATTTTGTCTTTAGCAACCTTCCACTCTAGAAGTGCTTCAAACTTTGGCATTCGTGGATGAATTCATTAGGAGGATAGTTGCTTATTTTCACTTACATGCTGGAGATGGGGGAGGATGCAAAAGTCTAATGTACTTAGCTCTTTAAAAGTAATATGCATGTCCTTAGGATTCATTATATACTCCTAAAATAGCAAGTCTTGGGAAAAAATAATCAGGTGCAAAAATTTGTACTCTTTAAAATTTTAGATAACTGATGAGAACAATACCTTAAGAAAGTTTATTTTTCATGAGTATTCTGTTTAATTTATGCATAATTCTGTATAATCACAATACTCTGAATTTCAAACGAATGATTTTTAAAAATTATTACCTGCTATCATTTTGTATCATTGGTAATCAGATTTGTATGCACGTGAAACTAAGGTATGTCAAAATATGTGTGTGGATTTTTTTACTCTAGGAATTAAAATAGAGAAATGAGAACAAGAAAGAATAGGTATGTTCCTAACTCTTTGGTTTGTTACAAGACTTTGCACAGTCTCACGCAATATCCTGTTCTCCCCACTCCCTGATTTTTGTTTAAATATAAATTGATTAGGACTAACTGCATCTTCATGGGTTTGTTTGTTTGTTTGTTTTTAATTTAAATGTTCCTAAACATAGTTAGCTGGAATGCAGTGAACTATTATTACAGCAGAGCAAAAGTGAGAATAGGGCATTTGTCACAGTAAGCAGTGGTTAAAATAGTGGATGCCATTCGGATGTTAATTGAGTAAAGGAATAAAGAAAACAATGGCATAGCCTAGCTCCTTAAAATAAGCAAAGTGGGTATTTCCAAACTCTGAATGAGTTGCTTTAATATAACCTTTTCACTCTCGCAAAAACTACAGCATAATCCAGTACTTATGTGTTGAGTGTAAGAAGGAGTATATAAATGGAGGGTGGGTGGAGAATAGATGAAATAAGATTGATCTTGACAGTTTGAAGCAGGATAAGAACATGAGGGTTTATTTTACTATTCTCTCTATATAAATTTGAAATTTTTCATGGAGATAAAAAGTAAGGAAAGGTAGAACAGTAGAAAGCACAGATGGAAACCTTTCCTTAAATTTATAATGTGTCAATGGGAGGGATCCAAGATGGTGTCATAGGAAGAACCTAAACCCACCTCTTCCCATGGACATACCAAATCGACACCTACATGTAGAGCAATTCCTCCTGGAGAACTGAGGGCTGACTGAACAGCTTTTGCACAACAGGATAGAAGGACCACATAGAGATTGGAAGGCAAGATGGAGACACAGTAACCATGGGAACCCCACCCCTACACTGTAAACTGCAGAGGGGAGAGAGAGCACTGAGGAACCCATGCACAGATTTGCCCCCCTCCAAAAAAAGCTGTGATTTAAAGGGCAACTAGTGGGGTGCCGGGGTGGCTCAGTCAGTTAAGCATCTGCCTTCAGTTCAGTCATGGTCCTGGGGTCCTGGGATCCAGCTCCACACTGGGCTACCTGCTCAGTGAGGAGTCGTCTTCTCCCTCTCCCTCTGCCCCACCCCCACTCTCGCTCTCTCAAATAAATAAATAAAAATCTTTTTAAAAAATAAAGGGCAACTAGAATATAAGTGAAGAAAACCCATATACCAACTCTAGAGCATCTACCATATGGTGGGAAAACTGCTGGAACTCTCTCTGGGGTCAGAAGTGCAAGCAAGCACTATGTTTACCTTCTCCCACCTCCTTGATAGCATAAATGGGAACAGAGTCTAGCCACTGTAGCCAGCCTGCCCTCTCAGGAAGACTTGCGCCTCTGTATTATACCTCCGTCAGCTCCAGCCATCCTTCCAAAAGAGCCCCCTGTGCCTGTGCCCACCTGAGCTCCGGCCATCCCAGCAAGGTGGCCCACAGTGCAGTGCACACGAGTGCACGCTCAGCCTATACCCACTACAGCTCCAGCCATCCTACCAGGGCATCCCTGCATGGCGTACCCTAGGACTCAGCTCACACTTGCTGCAGCTACCACCAGCCAGCCAGAGCTGCCAGGCACATGTAGTCTATTCGGGGACGTTCCTACACAGAGCCTCTCCTTCATGACTGGGAGGGGTAGCTGTTGCCTGATTCATAGAAACAAATACAGAAAGTCAAACAAAATGAGACAGAGGAATGTGCTCCAAACAAACAAAAAATTTCAGAAAAAGAACTAAATGAAACAGAAATAATCTACTTGATAAAGAATTCAAATTAATGGTCATAAAGATGCTCATCAAACTTGAGAGACGAGTGGATGAGTTCAGTGAGAACTTAAGAGATATAAAATATAAAAAGAATCAGAGTTGAAGAATACGATTAGTGAAATGAAAAATCCACTAGAGGGAATCAGCAGCAGGTTAGAGGATGCAGAAGAACGGATCAACCATCTAGAGCCAGGGTAATGGAAAGCACCCAAGCTGAACAGCAAAAAGAAAAAGGAATGTTAAAAAATGAGGATAGGTTAAGGGATCTCTGGGACATTGAGAATAGTAACATTCACGTTACAGAGGTCTCAGAAGGAGGAGAGAGAGAGAAAGGGGCAGAAACTTACTTTAAGAGATGATAGTTGAAAACTTTCCTAACCTGGGAAAGGAAACATACATCCAGGTTCAGGAAGCACAGAGAGTCCCAAATAAATCTGAGCCCAGATAGGACCACACCAAGACACATAATTAAAATGTCAAAGATTAAAGGTAGACAATCTTAAAAAAAGCAGTAAGAGAACAGGAACTGGTTATATATAAGGAAGAACCCCATGAGACTATCAGCTGATTTGGGGACAGAAATTGCAGCCAGAAAGGAGTGGCATGAATTATTCAAAGTGCTGAGAGGAAAAAACCTACAACCAACATACTACTCGGCAAGATTATCATTTAGAATTGGAGAGCTAGAGTTTCCCAGACAAACAAAAGTTAGAGTTCATCACCACTAATCCAGCCTCATAAGAAATGTTAAAGGGACAAGAAAAGGCCATAACTAAAAATAAGAAAATAATGAAATGAAAAAATTTCCCAGGTAAGAGCAAACATATGGTAAAGATAGTTGATCAGTTGCTTATAAAGCTTAGTATGAAGGTTAAAAGACAAAAGTAGTAAAATCAGCTGTACCTAAAAAAAAAAAAAAAAAATTAGTTAAGGGACTCACAAAATAAAAAGACATAAAATATGACATATACATAAAACATAGAGGAGAAAGTAAAAATGTAGTGCTTTTAGAATGTGTTTTTACTGCAGTGATCATCCACTTCATATGGACTGCTTTATACTTAGGGTGTTACATATGAACTTCATGGTAACCACCAACCAAAAACCTGTAATAGATACACAAAAAATAAAGAGAAAGGAATATAAGCATAACATTAAAGAAAGTCATCAGCACAAGAAAGGAACATAGAAGAACTACAGAAACAACCAGAAAACAACAAAACGGCAATAGGTACATACCTATCAGTAATTACTTTAAATGTAAATGGTCTGGGCGCATGGGTGGCTCAGTCGGTTAAGCGTCTGCCTTCGGCTCAGGTCATGGTCCCAGGGTCCTGGGATCGAGCCCCATATCGGGCTCCCTGCTCAGTGGGGAGTCTGCTTCTCCCTCTCCCTCTCCCTCTGTGTGCTCGCCCTTGCTCGCTCGCTCTCTCAAATAAATAAATCTTAAAAAAAAAAAAATGTAAATGTAAATGGTCTGAATCCTCCCATCAAAAGAGATAGGGTGACTGGATGGTAAAATAACAAGGCCCATTTATATGCTCCCTACGAGAGACTCACTTCAGACCTAAAGATGCTGACTGAAAAGAAAGGGATGGAAAAAGATACTCCATGCAAATAGAAGCAAACAAACTGGGTAGCAGTACTTATATCAGACAAAGTGGACTTTAAAACAAAGGCTGTAACGAGACAAAAAAGGGCATTATGTAATGATAAAGAGATCAACAAAAGGATATTACAATTGTAAATATTTATGCACCCAACAAAGGAGCACCTAAATATATGAAGCAAATATCAACAGACATAAAGAGAAAAATTGACAGTAATACAATAATAGTAAGGAACTTTAACAGTACACTTATATCAATGGAGAGATCTTCCACACAGAAAAAAAGGAAACAGTGGCTTATGAGCAACCCATTAGAATACATGGACTTAACAGAGAACATTTCATCCAAAAACAGCAGAATACATATTGTCAAGTACACATGGGGGGAAATTCTCCAGGATAGATCACATGTTAGGCCACAAAGCAAGTCTCAATGAACTTAAGACTGAAGTCATGTCAGGCATCTTTCCAACCACAATGCTATAAAACTAGAAGTCAATTACAAGGGAACAATTGAAAAAAACACAAATATGTGGAGGCTGAACAACCTATTAAACAACCCAATGCATCAATGAAGAAATCACAGAGGAAAAACCTGGAGACAAATGAAAATGGAAGCACAGGTTCAAATTCTCTGGAATGCAGCAAAAGCAGTACTAAGAGGGTAATTTATGGCGATAGAGGCCTACTCAAGAAACAAGAAAAATCTGATAATCTAACTTTACACCTACAAGAACTAGAAAAAGAACAAAGCCCAAAGTTAGTGGAAGAAAGGAAATAGTAAAGATCAGAGTGGAAATAAACAAAATAGAGTCTAAGAAAAATAGAAAAGAGCAATGAAACCAAGATCTAATTCTTTGAGGACATAAGCAAAATTGATAAACCTTTAACCAGACACAGGAAAAAAGAGAGGGCTCAAATAAAATCAGAAATGAAAGAGAAGTAACAGCCAACACTACAGAAATACAAAGGATTATAAGGGATTACTATGAAAAGTTTTATATCAGGATTTCAACAACCTAGAAGAAATGGATAAATTCCTAGAAATAAACACTATTCCAGGACTGAATCAGGAAGAAACAGAAAATCTGAACAGACCGATTACTAGTAACAAAATTGAATCCAGAATCAAAAAACTCTCAACAAACCCAAAGTCCAGGACCAGATGGCTCCACAGGTGAATTCTGCCAAACATTTAAAGAAGAGTTAGTATCTATCCTTCTCAAACTATTCCAAAAAATAAGAGGTAGGAAAACTTCCAAATTTATTCTACAAGGCCAGCATTACCCTGATAAACAAAACCAGGCAAAGACACTACAAAAAAAAGAAAATTACAGGCCAGTATCCCAAGTGAACATAGATGCAAAAAATCTTCAACAAAATATTAGCAAATGCAATTCAACAATACACTCATTCACCACAATCAAGTGGAATTTATTCCAGGGATGCAAGGATGGTTTAATATCTACAAATCAATCAGCATGATACACCACATTAACAATGTGATGCGGAAAAAGCATTTGACAAAACTCAACATCTCTTCATGATAAAAACTCAACAAAGTGGGTTTGTAGGGAACATACTTCAACAAAATAAAGGCCATATATGACAGACCCGTAGCTAACATTATAATCATTGGTGAAAAACTCTAAGATCAGGAGCAAGACAAGGATGCCCACTTTTGCCATTTTTATTCAACATTTATTCAACAATGTAGTTCCTAGCTGCAACAATCAGACAAGAAAAAGAAAAGTATCCAAATTGATAAAGAGTAAAACTGTCACTATTTGCAGATGACATGATACTCGATATAGAAAACCCTGAAGACTTCACCAAAAAAACTATTAGAACTAATAAATGAATTCAGTAAAGTTGAATTTTATTATATATACAAAATTAATACACAGTAATCTGTTGCATTTCTATACACTAACAACAGTGTAGCAGAAGAGAAGATTTCAAGATATGGTACTGGCACAAAAATAGACACATTGACCAATGAAACAGAATAGAGTGCCCATCAGTTAATTTACAACAAAGGAGGCAAGAATATACAATGGAGAAAAAAAAGTCTCTTCAATAAATTGAGAATATTAGACTGCTACAGGCAAAAGAATGAAACTGGACCATTTATATCATACACAAAAATAAGCTCAAAATGGATTAAAGACCTATATGTAAGACCTGAAACCATAAAACTCTTAAAACAGGCAGTCATCTCTTGGACATTGGCCTTAGCGACATTTTTCTAGAAACGTCTCCTCAGGCAAGGAGAACAAAAGCAATTATCAAACTAAAAAGCACAGCAAGGAAATCAGCAAAACAAACAGGCAACTACTGAATGGGAGAAGATACTCACAAATGATATATCTGATAAGAGATTAATATTTAAATATATAAAGAACTCCTACAACTCAACACCAAAAAAAACCCCAAATAATCCAATTTTTAAATGGGCAGAGGACCTGAATAGACATTTTTCCAACGAAGACATGCAGATGGCCAGCAGACACATGAAAAGATGCTCAGTATGACTCATGAGGGAAATGTCAATCTCAAAACCACAGTGAGATATCACCTCACACGAGTCAGAGTGGCTAGTATCAAAAAAACAAATAAAAATTTAAAACTTAATAAAAAAAGACAAGGAATAACAAGTATTGATGAGGATGTGGAGAAAAAGGGAATCCTTGTGTACTGTTGGTGGGAATTTAAATTTGTGTAGCTGCTATGGAAAACAGTATGGAAGTTCCTCAAAAATTAGAAATCCCACACAGTCCAGTAATTCCACTGCTGGGTATTTACCCAAAGAAAATGAAAACACTAGCTTGAAAAGATACATGCACGCCTATGTTTATTGCAGCATTATTTACAATAACCAAAATACGGAAGCAACCTAAGTGTCTATTGATAAATGAATAAATAAAAAAGATGTGGGGTGTGTGTGCGCGCACACGCAAGGGAATATTATTCGGCCATAAAGAAGAATGAAATCTTGCCATTCTCAACAGCATGGATGAACCTAGACAGTACTATGCTAAGTGAAATAAGACAGAGAAAGATAATATACCATGATTTCACTTACATGTGGAATCCAAAAAAAACAAACACAACAAAACAGATGCAAACTAATAAATGCAGAGAACAAACTAATGGTCACTGAGGTGGGAAGAGATGAGCAAAATACGTGAAGGGGATTAAGCGGTACAGACTTCCAGTTATAAAACAGATAAGTCACAGGGATGAAAGGTACAGCGTAGGGTATATAGTCAATATTGTAATAACTTTGTGCAGTGACAGTAACTGCATCATGGTGAGCATTGTGTAATGTATAAAATTGTTGAATCACTGCAGTACACCTGAAACTAATATAACATTGTATGTCAACTGTACTTCAATTTAAAAAGTTTGTAACATGTCAAATATGAAATACGGCAATTATTACCCAAAAAAAAGGAAAAAAAAATCTATTAAAAGTTTTCTCACAAAAGATAGAAGCTTTTGTGTGCTTCTATCTATGCTATTTTGGAGAAATAGAGAATCAAATATTTTTGCCTTCAGCTAAAATAGAGAATTACTAGTTTCATTTACAGAGATTTATTTAGTTAGAAAAAATTTTGCAGTTCTGCTTTACACTGCAGTGTTTTGTTTTGTTTTTAACAGCTAAAATTAGTGTGGAAATCACAAGCCATCCTTTGCAGTCTAACTTCCTCTTTAAATTCTGGTTTCCAAATACCTCTGATAAAAAGATTTGTGAGTTTAAGTACCAAATGGCAATTGCGCAGATATAAGAAAACCATTGGAGGGGCGCCTGGGTGGCTCAGTCGGTTAAGCGGCTGCCTTCAGTTCAGGTCATGATCCCAGGGTCCTGGGATCGAGCCCCGCATCGGGCTCCCTGCTCAGCGGGGAGCCTGCTTCTCCCTCTCCCACTCCCCCTGCTTGTGTTCCTGCTCTCGCTGTCTCTCTCTCTGTCAAATAAATAAATAAAATCTTTAAAAAAAAAAAAGAAAGAAAGAAAGAAAACCATTGGAGATTTTTCATTTAAAAAAAAAAATGTGTAGGTCCCCATTGATTACCTTAGATACTACTTAAATAATGAAGAAAGTGCTAGTATTTAATAATAAAGTGTTAATACAAATAGTCTACTTTCCTAAAAATGTTTGTAGTTAAAAAGGATAGACGAAGTTTTTTAAATGTGTCAGGTGGGAGTGTTTTCTAACACCTAAGTGAGACCAAAATTATATTAAGTAGGATGGATCCCCAGATTAAAACAATCATTCGATAAAATGTTTCCCAAATAGGAGGTGTAAAATCATTTTATATGGTAAAAAGTCAAAGCAAAATTTTAACTATTTATTTTAATGTGGTTTAAGAAATATTACCTAGTATTGTCAGATCCTCAATTTTTCAAATATTTTTACTTACATAAGCTGTATTTTTAAATTACTCAATTTAAAGAAAATTTATTACTCAATTATATTACCCAATTAAAGAAAATATTTGTTCTATAAATAGCATTCTCAATTTGCTCTTGAATGTGGCAAAAAGTGTCATGATGCCTAAAAATTGTGACCAATGCCTAAAGTTGATAGTTTTGCAATAAAGTGTTCCTTAAGACTAATCAATAAATAAGATGCTGCTAAAGGGGGACAGAAGGGTGCCTGGGTGGCTCAGTCAGTTAAGCGTCTGCCTTCGGGTCAGGTCGTTGATCTCCGGGTCCTGGGATAAGGTCCTGGGATCGAGCCCCAAGAGCCCCAAGTTGGGCTTCCTGCTCAACAGGGAGTCTGCTTTTCTCTCTCCCACCCCCCCCCAGTTGTGTGCACATGCACACGTGCTCTTTCTCTCAAAATCTTTAAAATATATATTTTTTAAAAAATAAAGGGGGCAGAATACCAAAACATCACTTAATTATTTTAGATTTGTTATAAAAGCTTGATTTCCTCTATTTTGCCTACTAGATACAGTAAGTTTATCTTTTAAATTATCAGAAAAGATACCATTTAGTTACCAACTTAGTAGAGTAGGTGGAATTTGCAAATTAGTGTACAGTGTTTTAACATAGTTTGAATCTTTATATTGTAAACCTTGACAAGAGAGCTCCAACAGTGCATGCTCCTTTTACTTTAAGCCTCCCCAAACTAATTTGTAGGAATATTATCCTAAATTTCTAATGGGATCCCCCCTCAAAAAAAAGTAGTTTCATAAATGTAATTTCATCTTAGACACAGCCTTGGAGGAATGTAATTATTCCTTAAATTTAACATACATTAATTCTTTCAAAAACTCTAGAACATTGGCCTCTTAAGGCTGCAGTGGCTTCATTATAGGAAAGTTTAGACCTGAAGGGTATGTGGATTTATCTAAGATCACAGAACAGGGAAGTCATGAGTGAGCCGCAGAGCCAGGAGCGGAACTCCGTTCTCTCAGCCCTCAATCTAGTGTTCTTAGTGTTCCATAATAAATATGGTTTTAAAATAAACTGAGAAATAAAGAGTGGTAGAATTTTTACAGTGATTTGCTTCTCCAAATCTATCGTTGATATACAGTTAAGATTTTTAGAAATTAGCTCATCTTTCTATTTTTATTTGTGTTGTTCGCGGCTTATATTTTTAGCAAACGGAACATTTGACAAAAATGTCCATTCCTGGTAGAAAACAGAAATATAAGTACTTCTTCAGTGGGGAACGCAAATCTAACTTTACTGAGACACAGACTCACTGTCAGTATGGTGGTAGGACACCTTTTCACAGTCCTGCGGTGACATTACGGGAATCTTTGCTGTTGGGTCCCCTATGAATTGATTTCCCTTTTCTCCTGTTCTCAACTGGAGAAAATGGCGCTCTCTTCCCCACGAAGGAGACAGTGAGGTGACGCCATCGTGTCCCTGTCGGTGTTCCCCAGCAGAGAAGCACTGACTTGCTAGAGGTGGGGAGACCCGAGCGCGCGTATCATTTGGTTAACATGCTGCTTCATTCTGTGCAGTCCAGATGTAGTGCAGAGTGCGCAGTGCATTCTGTGCAGTCCACATTGCCAGTCATTTATGACTTCGCCATTTTTTTTTTTTGCTTCAAAGACCATTCTTTTGCTTCCTTACAGATCAGAGGTCCACCATCAAAACACCAAAGACTCAAGACACAGAAGATGATGAGGGGGCTCAGTGGAATTGTACTGCCTGTACTTTTTTGAACCATCCAGCCTTAATCCGCTGTGAACAGTGTGAGATGCCAAGGCATTTCTGAGCCAAAAGGCCCTATAGCTCTAAAACCACATCGGAAGTTCAAGAAACGAGTCTGTCATCAGGGGAAAAGTTTCACTGCTACGTAGGATTTTGTCAAATTGAAGGTGTGACGATATGGTGTTGTGCTAATGTTAAATGTCAGCCCACAGAGCTAATAATACCTCAGTCTAATGTCATGGGCAGTTGAAATTCATCACATGAAAGGGAATCTGCTGAGACTCGGTTGCCCGCTGCCTAACCATGTACAGTGTTACCAGTAGCCCATTGTGGATAATTCTCAATATATTAATGCCTAGGTGTGCCCAGTACCTTTTCCCCCTCATGTCACTACTGAATTTTGACAGGAGGAAGGAATAGAACGATGGCTTTTTTTTTTAAAGCTTTTGGTGAAACACTACAAACATGAAGAAAAAGAACAAGGTGTAACTATTTAAAAACTGTTTGCTGCCGCATGGTGCCAATGGATAGGGGAAGAACTTCATGAATCTGTGGTACTCTTGGCCTCGTCTTTGTCTTCCCTGAAACGTCTCCACTCTGTGAAGCCAGCATCTGGGGTCTAAAGATGAAAAGGAAAGCAGCATGCATTGTCTGTACAAACATGCAGTGAGATATCCCAAAGCTTTTCCTACTGTACAGATCTCTCGAGTCTGCTTTAAGTGATTTCTTTTCTTTATTATTTTCTTATATTTCTATATGTATAGTGTAATAGTCTTTTGTTAACTAATTTTCTTTTTTCCTTTTAGTGATTAAGCACGATCATGTCCCTTTTTAAGCCTTACCTGAGAGAAGCAATGCCTTAAAATAAAAAAGCATTAATGAAATGAAACTGTGCACAAAATAACTTTCCTCTACTTACTCTGTGCTTTGCCCTCGTGAGTGCCGATGTTCTGTGAAGACATGGGGATGCTGCACACTGACTTGCAGGAAATACTACAAGACTTACGTCTCTCTAAGTCACACTATATCTGCCGACTTCAGCAGTGGGTCGCACAGCACACTGATCTTCCACAGGGAAGCTTAAAACAAAAGGTATTTTTAACCCACTGACAGAGCAACAAGGTTAAGCTTGCTTCATCTGCCTGGTGTCCCACAGAACTGTCACAAGAGATTACTATGGGGAAAGTACAGTTTTCAAAACCAGCCACAGCAGCAGAACCTACAGCCCTGGTGTGGGGAGAAGCGTAAATGCTTTATTGTTGGGGCAGTCCGTTTCTAAACCTGACTTGGTGGCAGTATCATGTGTATTTATAAAATGAGGCTAGTCATATTTAGGACAACTGAAGGAAAGCTGGAAAAAAGAAAAACAAGCAAACTTGAACACTGAAGCAACCTCAAGCATCTCTTTATTTTGATGATATATTTTTATAAGGAAAATAAATATTCAGATGATCGGGAGTGTATATAACTAAATGAAATCAAGAAAAAGAAATGACAGTATGCATTTAAAAAACAGAATTATGAAATTATATATCAGTACTTAGAATGGGGCTAAGGGAAGTGCTGAAATATAGCAAAAGGTAGGAGATAATGTTGACTGTCACCCATTGTAAATGTCTGCAAATGGATATTTTTTAAATAAGCAGGATTATTACAGGTGATCTATATGAATGTCAAAGCCTTGACTTCCGGGCTTTGCATGTTGTATATGGGAAGAAATATGACAATCCTAGTTAATTAGACCATAGACCCAAAGCCCTTACAATTGATGCATTTTGTTTTAAAACTAGGCCTTGTTTTTCAGCTTCATCTGCAGTTCTATGTGAAGATTGATAAATCAGTTTTTACTTGTTTTATTAATAAAACGTAATTTGGTTATCTTGAGTTGATGGTTTTGTGATTTAGCTGGGTAAACTATCTTTGTAACAGATAAGTTATTTATAAAAATTAAAAAACTTATATTCTAATGTGGATTCTGTGACTTGTTTTTAAAGTTTGTGGGATAGAAGACAACTTATACCCCAGCAGCACATTTGGTAGCTAATTGAAATCAGAGAAAACTCATTCTTCTCTAGAGTCTTCTCGTGACATCATGGCATTCAGCTGCATTTCTTGGATTATTTTTCTCAGTTCCCCCAAGCTTTTTAACTAATGAAAGAGAGCGACCGTGTTTCAAACTGAGCCAAAAATAATGAATGTTGCTTTTTCATAGTTACTGCTTTTCCTTTAGTTTCTTTTGGGGGTTTTAAAGTTTACCTCGTTGAAAACAGGATATCTTGGGCCATTTGGCCTGAGGAGTCATTCAGTTAAGATCTCTTTTATTCCATAATGTGTAGGTGCTGGGGATCTCAGTGGTGCTTCTCTTGGAGAGAACCTTTATATTAAGAATTTTCAAAAAACATCACTCAGCTTTTTTGAGCTTGAAAATGGCAAAGTAGCATTCACTGATTTCTTTGTTATAACTGTGGAAAGCCCTGCCTTGCCTCCATTGGTCTTTTAAACTTAGTGGGACAGAAATATTCTTTGCCAAGGAATATGAGGCTGGTGGTCTGGAAACCACCTTCAGGAATTATTGCACTAAAATAGAATTACAGGTACGAAGAACCTCAGAACGATAGACTTCTGTTTCTCATCACTAATTATCCTTGGGTGCTGACATTCTCTGTATTTAAAGGTGAGGTGGGCAATTAGCAGTTCATGTAACCTGGACTTCTCAGGAAAACTTTTATATTAACAGAACAGTGGCCAGTATTGCTATTATAACTAATATGTCATACAAAGATGCATGCAGATTTTTGTGGGAAATACGAAAATTAATTTTTCTTTTAAAATTTCCATTTACTTTTTTAAATGACTGATCTAGATCAATCTGCAGCCTAATATTAATTGACTTTATTAGAGAACTGAAATTGTGCAGAAAATCAAATCCATGGACAGTCAAAACCGTATTAGCTGTTAACTTCAAATGTATTTCAATCGAAGTGTTATAAATAGCAGACTTCACTGACATTTCATCAATTACCTCTATCCCAGCTGAATGTTGATGGGACAGTCCAGTGAGCAATGATGGGTTTAAGAAGTGAATGGTGTAAGGTGTAATAATGTCCAGTCCATGAGTAATTGAAGTTGGCTGAATTGCCTTAGAAAAGACTGTTGGATCTGTAGTGGCACCAAGGGCCATTCCAGATTTAATATCTTCATGCTGGGTATTAGCATAGTTTCCCTTACAATATTACAAAATACTTATATTTCAAATGAACATATTTTTGGCTCCAGTTTTTAGAAGCTACAATTATTATAGCCATATTATTTGAAGATGAAATTGTTTAGGGCTGCATTTTAATTTTTATTACTTCCATCTGAAAATAAGGCAACTTGAGAGAAAAGACCTTTAAAGAAAACAGAATTTTGTAGCTTTATATTTGTTAAAGTGGGATTCCCCCACCCTACCCCAGTATGTTTTGGTAGTTTTGTTTTGTTTTGTTTTAAGAGTGTCATCCTACAAAAATGCTTGGTAATGCATTGTCTTTGCAACTATAAGTTTTTTCCTATATTATATGTTCAAAAATAGAACTGCCATGTTACATTATAATAGTTCACTGACTTGCCTAGTTATTTAGAAAGTTTATGAAAGCACTTGCATTTTTTATTAATTTTTTAAATTCCAGTGGAGTTAACATATGGTGTTATATTAGTTTCAGATGTATAAACAGTGATTCATCAATTCTATACTCAGTGTGTTTGCATTTTTAACACCATGGCACCTTGTTCCCTAGATAGACCACTCAAATCTTAAGAATCAGGACAGTTGAAGTCCAGTTCGGGCATCTCCCTAGATTTACCCTGTAACCTTAGATTAGTTCTTTGCTTTTATTTCTCAGCCTTGTTAAATGAAGATAATTATATTATGTTCAACCCGCCTCACTGTGGCACTGAATGTGAAACTAGCTGAGCCAACCCCTTCTCACTAGGAATTTCATTGTCCTTAAACTGGGTTATGTTTTTGAATGAATGGGCTTTGATGCATTTTTCTCAACAGTATCAGTAAATGAAACGGTAAGTTTGCAATTATTTCTCTGAATTGGGCTAGGGACACATCAGTGGACCAGAATTTGGTATTTCAGTCACTGCGATTAAATTCTTGCCTTTTAATGTCAAAAGGTTAGTTGCTTTGCAAAGATTATAAAATTATCAAAGGCTGACCTAAAGATCAGGTGTGTTTATATTTCTGTTGTATGTCCAGCTATCTAAAGAATGTACATTTTATGATGGAGTATAACAAATTATTTCTCCAGGAAAATAAATAATTTCTTCAAAGACACCTCTCAAATTTTTTTTTTAATCTCCCAATTGAAGCAGAGGGTATGGAAGAATATTTTTTCCTGAGAAAACTGGTCAAGAGGGGCACCTGGGTGGCTCAGTCGGTTAAGCATCTGCCTTCGGCTCAGGTCATGATCTCCAGGTCCTGGGATCAAGCCCCCGATTGGGCTCCCTGCTCAGCAGGGAGCCTGTTTCTCCCTCTCCCTCTCCCACTGCCCCTGCTTGTGTTCCTCTCTTCACTGTCTCTCTCTGTCAAATAAATAAAATCTTTAAAAAAAAAAAAAAACTGGTCAAGAGAAGAAGGAAAAAAAATTAAATGCAAACAGTGTAATAACCCTCTCCTCCCCTTTCGCAAGAAAGGTGAGAAGGCAGCCTTCTGACTGAAGGAATAATAGAGACCAAGACTTCCTGTGTGATGCACACCATGAAACTAGCATACATTTTACACAATTCGGCTTGGAGCCTAATGATGACTACCTTTTTGGCTTTTAATAGAATTATTTCACAAGCCCATAGGCTGAAGAACCAGATACTTATCACAGAACAGTCTAGACATTCTTAGAAGGCCACTAACCCAAGCAACCAAGCTCTACTAAGCGACTGAATGAGAAGCAAGCCGTGCATCCTCATTGCAGTGAATAATAGGTATTCCTTGTTAAGACCGTGAAGTATCCCAAAGTATATTTAATATCAAATGGCAAGAACATACAGCTAAGTTTCTGAACCTTGCCACTTGTATTTCTCTCTCCTACCATTCATAACCATTAATAACCTACAGTTAAATGCAATGGGTTCACATTACATGAAACAAATGGCCCCCACATTCTAAGGCAAGTGAAATAAAGAATAAGCAGGACTCGCTGAAAACTTTAGACCAACTGTCATTTTTTTTTTCTCTGAGCATCTGTGCTGTGGAATCTACATTTGCTGCAGTGCGGAGATCTTGAGACCCCCTTGGAGTTGTACAAGGCTCTCATTTTCATAGCATTTTGACAGACTCATCCATTCCACAAGTAAAAGGATTTTGTTACTGTAATGAGTCTCACTGATTCTACGTTCTCAGTTTTCTACAGGCATGACGCTGAGAAAGAAATTCCCTGTCATTCTCAAAAAGTGCAGTTTAGTAACATTTCGGCTTCGTCTTCTCTAGACAGAATAACTACCTCCAGCCGTTCCTCGTTCCTCATACACGTTCACATAGCGGCGAGCTTCCTCTAACCATGTTTTATGAATTACGGTGGGATATGGGACCCTTGGCATCCTGATTCACGTAGGGAATGGGGGTCATACTTGTCTCCTGGCATTTGCATGTCATGTGCTTTCGCGGATGTGTTAGGGGCAAACGGGAGGTTTCCTACCGTGGTACTCAGCACAACACCCTGCGTGCGCATATCAGAGTGATTCCATGGAACCTCGCTGACCTTGGGATGATGCTCTCCAGTCACTCCCTCTGCTCTTTGCTCGTGTCTGTTTCCAACCCATCAGTGCTTGTATCTCCTGTTGACTTTACATTGTTTTTATAGAACCATTTTTTTGGTAATGGTTCTATAAAAAATTAACTTAAACTTTTATTAACTTCAATTTCTCTTTCAGTGTTAACAATCCATCCTAAATCAATCCTTCTCTACGTATCTGGGCATTTTTTCCAGTAGGTTTGTACCTCACTCACCAGAGGGCTGAGCAGAATGGCCGTGCTGATTCTCGCCTCAGGACCAACCGTGGTTCACTACTGTGGGGTCAGAACATCTCTTCTCGGCACATCATTGAGTGGCCAAGACCACACAGAAGTAACTACCTCACATTCCACTTCTTTGTTTCTCTTACAGACATAATCAAATTGATCTGACAGGACCTACTGCTTTAGCAGATAGATTGGATGCTATGCATCTTTTTAGATATGACCAACACGCGCTTACTACATGAGGCACGCTCCTCAGTGCTTTACAGAATATGAACTCGTGTGATCCTCAGAAGAGCCCAAGTGGTAGATATTATGGTATCCCCATTCCACAGACAAGGACCTGAGGCAGAGAGAGATTAAGTGACTTGCCCAGGGTCACACAGCGGGTAAGACGCGGGACCAGAATTCCACATCGGGCAGTCTCAATCCAGTCCTGCTTTCAACCAAATTGATGTTTATTCCTACTTATTCCAAGGTGGCTACAGTGAGTGATGAGTTCTCAGTCTCTGGAATCGTCTTCCTATTTTAGATGACACTTTACCTTTCTCCCTCCTTTGCCAGTCTTCCTAATCTTATTCTGATGGGTGAGGCCAAGGTCTTTCCGTGTTCACCACCGTGCAGCCTGCTCCCAACATGGACGTGGCAAGCAGCAGACGCACAATAAGTTTTAAGTTCACCTTATAAATTCGGTGACCTAGTATAACTTCATTTTTCTGTTACTTCCCTCAAATGCTTCTCAGTAGGCGCATTCCTGCCACCGGCCGAGTGGCCTGTCACACAACAAGGGAGGGAAAGCCGCCACCTTGGAGCTTCCAAAGGGGAAATAGGTGTGCACGCACGGTCAGTCCTCACTGTTCTCAGATTCTGTGGCTTGTGAATTTGCCTGCTCACTATAGCCATTCGTGGACGTGTGCAGGGCGGTGCAACATCCGGAGCCGCTGGCCCTCACGTTCCGGGCTGAGGTCA